ACAGAGCTGCAATTACCTTTGCTTCATAGGGGTAGGATTCCTCTGAGGCCAGGCCTCTGTTGTTCTTAACATATTGATAAGCAAGATGTGGTAGGCCACCAGTGCAGCCGTTGTTTTGGGGACGAGAACAGTCCACTAGGTTCTGCTCACTGAGGGAGACCAGTTTGCCCGTTTTCTTGAACATCTGTCCTTCTAGTGCACCATTTGCGCAAAAAGCCCAACAGGAATTACATTGACCCTGGTAAGAGAAGAGAAGTCTCTCATACACAAAGCAAATAGCAAGACATGGACATCAACTCCTGTGTGTGAACAGGCTTCCAAAAGAACCGCGAACTCCAGGACACTGCAGAGTCTGCCAAAGGAAGTGACAACTACTCCTGGCTTTGCTATGGGCAGTGAAAGGGTCCACAGTGACACTGTCATACCTGATCCTTCACATGGGTCACATAGCCTTTCTCTCTCCAGTCCACAAAGGCAGGCAGGTCACCAAATAGAAGATCTGGATATATTTGTTCCTCCTCATTGGGCCTAACGGGCTGAAACTCAGTTTCCCCCTGCTGCAATTCTTCATCAGTCTTCAGGAAAGAGTAAAGAAGATATTTCAAAAGCAGGGTCATTTTGTGGAGAAGTAAGGAGAGCAAGCCCCGTTGTAAGCAATGCACAGGACACTTACCATGTCTCCAAAGGCGTTCATTTCCAGGGTGTAGGTATGTTTCCCTTGGCGCTCTTCCTCATTGTGCACTTCAATCATTTTCCAGTTCTCCTCCCATATTGCTCTCCTCCATCCCTCTTCATCCTAGGAATAGGCACAAGGGATGAGAGCTCTGTCTACTTACACCCAACCCCGGTTCACTGAACGGAACTGCTGACAAAGATGGAGAGAGACTCTGTCCAGGATGTTGTGCATTTGGGGAAGCTGTTCTCTGGAGTCAGAGAACAGCAGGCTATCAGCCCACATCCTGCTTATATGACTGGTATTAGCTGACTGCCTTGGAGACCTGGCTTGGATAAAGTTAACTCAGCAAGGATCTCGTCTGTGGCGTCCTTCAGAAGACTTTCCATAGTACCCACCGAATGGTAGCTTTTGCCGTATTCTGTCTTCCACTTTGTCCACTGTGCATCCAAACTGGGATCCAATACTGGAGCAGCTGAGGCCATTCCCAAGCAAAGGATGGCCAGCAACAGAGAAGGATCCATATTGGAAAGCCTAGAAAGGGAAATGAAGCCGGGATTTCCAGTGACTCATGCATGTCAGCAGTCTGCTTAGTCTTAGCTAGAAAAGAATTAATGCCACCATGACAATTTAGATATTAAAATAAGACTTTACAATATTTGTCCAGAGCTATGTTAAGGCTTACGGATATCCTTGGGTTAAAACATCAAAGTAGAGGTATGTGGTCAAGCAATGGGCATGAACATTGTCCTGGCCGGAGCTCTTGGAGGTGAAGCAAAGTGTGCAAGATTAATGGTTGGATTAAATTTTAGGAGTCCAGCTAAAATCTCACCCAATGGGATATCTGATCTCAGCTAGGAGCAATGATATCCCCCAAAGCTCAGAGTCCACTGACATCTCCTTAGCCAATGCAAAGTAGAAGATGGATGAGTCATGCACTGCTTCTCCCCTTCTTGGGTGAAACCCTCTGGAATATACTTCCTAGACAAACTAGGAAGACAACACCCCATATTCTCACTTTTACACATCAGCTTCCAATATCTCAACCTGCTGTCACATTCATGCCCTTGTTCATGTACTGCACAGAGTGCAAGCTAGAACTCCAAGGTCGAGCCCCTGGGCAGGAGCAGGTAGCTCATGGGGCTCCATGCTTAGGTTTGGATCAGTCCATGTTTCTGCCCACTGCACGTTACCTGGTAGTGATGCACAAGAGCATATTGACTGATGCTTCAAGAATGGGAGAGCATTACAGTGCAGTTTGCAGGCATCCAGCTGCCTTATGCAACCTGGACAGATTCCGAGTCTGACCAAACTGCTCAACCTGAGATCTTCTGGCTGATGGAGTAGCCACCCTTGGGTTTCACTCCACCGCCCTATGCCATCCCCACCACCCTTCTCAGCTGGCCCCCAGTGTCCACGCTGAGGCAGAAATGGAAGTTGATCTGCTTGTGCCCTTGCCCCTGATAGGCCTTCTATTCCTGTTCCCACCATGCCTCTGTGGGCTGGGATGCTCACCTGAACCTTAAGCTGTGCAGGAGCCCTCTGCAGTGCAACTCTCCAAAGACAGCTGTCCTAAAAGCACCTGGCCCTGAGATCAGGTTTTAAAGTCTCAGGACACTCACTGGCCTGCAGTCCTCCCCACTTCCTGAACTGTGATTGGCTCCTGCTGCCCCAGGGCACGACCTGTTCAGCCTTCTGGCAAGGTCAGCTCCACTTCTTTTTCCTGGATTCCTCCTCTGCTCTTCTGCCATATGATGCCTTCTGCCATGGCATAAGCCAGCCAGAGGGCCTTTCCTAGATGCTGGCATCTTGATATTGAACTTCTCACATTCCTCATCCACTTGCCATCAATTTCCTATGATCCATTACACAATCTGTTGAATTCCACTATGGCCACATATAATAGACTAGGTACTGCACAAGCAGAACCACACAGTATCTGTCTTTTTCTCTCTGGATAGTTCACTTAACATAGTCTAACAAGGTTGCTCTATGTTGTAACATGTGTCAAAGTATCCTGTCTTTTGAACCTGACTAATATTTTATTCTATGTAGACAGAATATTTTGATTATTAGAGTGTTTGAGTTATTTGAGCATTTTAGAAATATTCTTATCAACACGGATGTACAAATGTAGGTTTACATTCCTTGCTTTAGATTCTTTTGTATATGTACTTAAATTGCTAGATAAGTAATTGTGTGCTTGAGTTTTCCTCTGTATTTACCACAGCACATGTCCCATTTTCATTAACACCAGCCATGTCCAATCATTTCCACTTATAATTACTTCTTCACTGTGCTTTCCTTCCTTTCTGTTTAACTTCCTTCCTTCCTTCCTTCCTTCCTTCCTTCCTTCCTTCCTTCCTTCCTTCCTTCCTTTCTTCCTGCCTGCCTGCCTTTCTGCCTTCCTGCCTTCCTTCCTTTCTTTCTTCCTTCTATCCTGCCTTCCTTTCTTCCTTCTATTCTGATTTTCTTCTTTGCTTCCTTGGTGTTTCTTTTTCCCTTCTTTCTTCTCTCCTTTTCCTCATTTCCCCTTTCTCTCTTTTCTCCACTCCTTCTTTTCTTTCTCTTTCCTTTCAATACTTTTCCTATGCCTGTGAACTGGTGTCTCATTGTGATTCTGATTTGTATTGCTCTCATGAACAATGCCTACAATATAAAACATATTTTCATATGCTTCTTTACTTTTTGTATATATTCAGGAGAAGAATATCCACTCCAGTCTCCTTTTAGACAATATTCAATGGAAACATTTTATTAATGTCGGTGATACTGAATTTTACTTAGGAGCTCTTTATATTTTCTAGGTTTTAATTCCTCATTATCTCCGTGAATTGCAACTGTTTTCTGTGGATTCAGTTTCCATTCTAATCTATAGCCAAAGAATTCTCAAAAGGTTTTCATCATGATGAGATCCAATTTGTCTATTTTTTCTATTATTATTTTTAATACATTTGGAAAATGATTGCAAAGTTCCATCCTATACTGTTTTTACTTCTTTTGTCACCTTTCCCTTTATGTTTAAGTGTTTGATTCACTTGATTGATTTCTGTACCCCTCTTACATGTGGAAAGATGCTTTTCCTAGGATTGTTGTAGAAAATAATCTTCTTTCCCTAAGAGATAACCTTATCCCTCTCCCTTAAGATTTTCTAAAACTCAATTTCTGCAGATTCCATTCTAAGACCTTTGAAGAACTAGGAACCCTACTTTCCATAGCCAGGGGCTGAAGCACAGGTGATTGTGAAACAATACTATATTGCTAGTAACTGGAAGGAGATTGTTGATTGTCTGTTCGTTGGAAATAGTTCATGGAATTCAACAGTCATTCAAAATTACTGTATAGAATTCTAAAGTAGAATTTTACAGTTGCCCTTGGGCCTCCTCTCCAGGAGATTAAGGGAGAAAATCTTGTGACTGCCTAAGCCCCACCCACCCATTGAGCTTGACAATGCTGAGTGACAGCTGCTACTATGAACATCAGCCTCTTGGTTCCTTGGAAAACAACCTAAACCTAGGATACAGAAACTGTGGACTCATTTTCTATCAAGGGAGCCAGAGACAAATTAAACCAAGAGCCAAAAGCAGGCGGCTTAGGCTTGTAATCCTAGGTGCTTAGGAGGCTGAGATCTGAAGATCGTGGTTCAAAGCCAGCCCAAACAGGAAAATTCATGAGACTCTTATCTCCAATAAACCACCAGAAAACCAGAAGTTTCACTATGGCTCAAGTAGTATGAGTGTCAGTCTTGAACTGAAGAGCTGAGGGACAGTGCCCAGGCCCAGAGTTCAAGCCCCACTACTGGAAAAAGAGAGAGAGAGAGAGAGTGTGTGTGTGTGTGTGTGTGTGTGTGTGAGAGAGAGAGAGAGAGAGAGAGAGGAAGAAGAAATTAAACTATGAAG